TATGCCACAGAAGCGACATACATCATCTTGAAGTTTTCCAATCAGCTTCAAGTGATAACGGCTCGGACAATGGCCTGTTATAAGACCTGCATATATACTAAGATCTTTCTTAGAAAGTTCCAGGATTTTGTGGGTCACAGAAATGTTTGGATTAATAAATCGCTGCGACTGCCTAGCAATGGAAGTGTTTTTCCAGTTTTCCTCCACTTTTGAAGATTCCCACGCTTTTAGCTCCATTCTAAGAGATGCAGCCGATAAGCCACAAAAGGGCTCTGGCCCGATGAACTTTGTTTATTGCCTGCTCTAGATGCATATTCCAATTAAGTTTACTATCTAGGATTACTCCAAGATATTTGACAGCATTAGAAAATTCCAAAAGTGTGCCAATCAGGGCTGAAAAAATCACTAAAATTCATCAAAGTTCACTATGGATGAAAAATTCATTTCATAGTGAACGCTGGTGATTTTTTCATGATTTTTTCAACCCTGGTGCCAATCTAATGAAAATTTCTTCCTTCGGGTAAATGGCACGATTGTAGTTTTAGAAGGATTTATGTTTAATCCTTCCCTATCATACCACGATGAGACAAAATTTAAATCAATTTGCATTCTGTTAGCGATAAAACCATCATGTTTGCCACGTAAAATTATGACTATATCATCTGCGAAGCCAATTATTTCGAAGCCTAGTGCTGTTAAATTTTTGAGAATATCATCAACTATTAAAGACCACAATATAGGTGATAACACGCCTCCTTGCGGGCATCCTTTGGTTGCTCTTACACTGATGAGTGAGCTTGCAAGGTTTGCTGATATTTCTCTTTTTGATAGCATTTCATTTATCCAATTTACAATGCTTTGATCGAATCGTGAGATGAATTATCGAATGCACCTTCAATGTCAAGGATTGCAGCAAGTGAAATTTCTTTTGCTTCAAAAGATCTTTCTAGTTTTGTAACAACCGTATGGAGTGCTGTTACTGACGACTTACCTTCCTGGTATGCAAACTGATATTTGCTCAGAGGATTTGTAACTAAATATGATGACTTTTTGTGTTCTTTTTTTTTTGTTTATTAATTTATTTGATAAGGCTCAACCGAATTAACTTTACAAAGCCGAGGATTCTTGGTCACTATACAATACATCTTAAAACTATAGTCAAAAGGTACAACACAATAAACACTTTATCTTCCGCTATCCAAAAAGCCTCCTCCATCAGAACTGGAGCCGCTTCCAGTGGTTTCATTGTATGGCAAATTGTTGTACGCCAACGAGGGTCAGAGCGCGTCCATTGCATCAATGGACGCAAAACGTGGTCAGCACTCACACACTCATCACGAAACGGTTGCTTTCCAAAGTCGACGACGCATCGACCGAAAGAACGGCTGATGAAGAACAATGAGGAGGACCACACAATGGTTGCTGCCAGGCTTCCAAATAGTACAGCCTCCTCGCGACAGTTGGTTTATACCTGAATTGACTGTTGCTTTGTGTGCTTTACTGCCGCTTGCTACCGTACGTTCAGATCTGAATTCGAAGTGTATTGGCAACAGCGCACGCACGAACGAATGAAAGCTGTATTAGAACAGTCGCATCTATACCCGCTTTGCTAAAATCATCGTGCTTGGAACGTAGTGAACCGAATGGGCTGTATTTATACAATTCTTTATGACCAGGTTCTCAATGTTTCTGTCGTCATAACAGCCTTCACAAATCGACGACATCCCTCAGCTTACCCAAGTGGCTGTCACGAAAAGGCTGTCACGAGACATTATATACAATTGATATACGGCAGTGGAGTATGGAAGAAACCCAGAAGAATGATCCCGAACAGATATGCCGGCCCAATGTCGGATCAATGTAAGGTCAATTTATGGTCGACGTCGGCCAAATGTCGGGTCGATTTCGGGTCAATTTTGCGTTTATGTCGGGTCAATGTCGAGCCAACATCGGGTTGGGGTTTGGTAGAAGTCAGGTTGGTGTCGGGTAGGCTTATATTTTTCCCCGAAGACCGCGCGTTTTTAAAAAAATATCGGATGAAAATTTTGCAATGGGCAGCACGAACGTGATAGCAACACCGAACGAGCTCCGGCGCCACACTGGTAGTGTAGTAGCAGTCTTACGACACACAAACAAAATTTCAAAGACAGCAGCAACGAATCGGCAGTTCGACGGACTGCTTGTTGTATGTACGAGGAACGTTACGAATGACCATCCGAGGCTGTCATAGCCGAACGAACAAAATACATGACTGAGAACGAGCTGTCGTGTACTGCACAAGACGGCAACGTTGCATGTCGTATAACAGCCTCACTGTGGGCTGTCGCTTATAGCTCAATCTCAAGGCTGTCGTAGGGAAAAGAAAGCGACAGCCGTTGGAATACTGTCATGAGGCGGTACTTTTGGTATGCCTGGTTGCTGCCGAGAAAACAGACGATCGCGTAGCACACATCGAGAGTGGCCTGCTTTTGTCGACAGCCGAGTGAACACTGACTTTTTGTGTTCATCTATTTTTTTTTTTTCCATTATTTTTTAGCAAAATAGACGATAAGCTTATTGGCTTGAAGGATTTTGGTGAAGTTTTATCCTTTTTATTAGCCTTAGGGATAAAAATAACCCACACTTGTCGCCACACTGCCGTTATATAGCTTAATATTAAGCTTGTTTGAAATATCTTTGTTAGAATAGGCATTAAAACCGCTTTTGCCTTCTGTAGTAGTACAGGAAAAATTCCATCCCTACCTGGTGACTTGAAAGATTCAAAGAAGTCAATCGCCCATTCAACTTTTCTTTCAGTAAAGATTTTGTTGGCCAAAGTTCAAGCATCAGCTCTTGTTCTGTCTAACTCAGTCGTTTCATTCAATATTTCATGAATATCCGTCCTGGTTTCATCGATACCAATTGCTGTTGTCGTCACGTTTTGGTCTTTGTTTGAATTAATAATAGAACATGGAAAATGCGTTCTCATCATCAACTCTAACGTTTCATTTGTAGAAGTAGTAAAAGAGCCATCCTCTTTTTTCAAAGTGCCCAGACCATTGAAATGATCTCAAGCGAGTTTTTTCTGCAACCTAGCAGTTGCTGGAGTATTTTAAATGTTCTCACGTGTATGCCTCCAGTGTATCCTCTTTGATCTCTGTAGTTCCTTATTATAGGCGGTGAGGGATTCCTTATATTGTTCCTACTGTTGTGTTCGCTTAGCCCTATTGAAAAGCTTCCGGGCTTTTTTACGAAGTTTCTGTAGCCTGTTCTTCCACCAAGGTACATCCCTGTTTGTAGAGCGTTCTTTTTCGATGCAACTCTCATAAAAGGCATGTTGGATCAAATTTGAAAGTTGTTTAGAACTATTCTCAAGTTCTTCACAAGTGTTTAAGCTAATTGCTATCGTGTCTCTTCCTGCCACTAGCTCTGAATTATATAGCTCCCAGTCTGTTTTCTTTAGATCTCTTAAAGTTTGTGTGAGCTGTTGACCAGCCTCATATTCAAATAATATTTGCTTGTGATCAGACAAAAATATTTCGTCTGACACATGCCAATTTTTGATATTGTCTGAGATTATTGGACTACACAAAGTCAAATCAAGAACTTCTTGTCCAATTGCATTAATGTTGGAGCCTATCCTCTGTTACATATATCTGTATAATTGTTAGAAATATAATCTAAAAGGTACTTACCTCTGGTATTGATGACTGTGCCGACCCATATTGTGTGATGAGCATTTGCATCACAGCCAATTATAAATGCCTTATTTTGTTTCTTGCAGTATGAAACAAACGCCGCTACTTCTGGTGGAGGTACATCTCCCAAGTCTCCTGGAAAGTATGCTGAAGCAATATATACTTCCGTTTTCCCGTGAGTTGTTGGAACCTCCATAAATTCTATAATAGGAAATAAATTTACTCTTCCATTTACTAAAATTGCAGCTCTTGGAGCTAATTTACCTTCATCGTAAATTAACTTACAATATTTTGTAGGAACTCCTAATATACTACTTTTATTTGTCCATGGCTTCTGAATAAGGGCAATGTCCAGTTTTCTCTCTATGAAACTTTTACAAAGTACAGCAGTTGCTCCCTTTGCACGGGGAAGGTTCACTTGAACAAATTTGATTTAATTGTTGTTGTTCGCCGCTCGCATGAGGATTTAGTTCTTCCCAACATTGGTTTTGCGGTTCCCCTTATTTGGATTCTTTTCTGCTTGGATCCTAGTAATTTTGTATCCTGGCTTCGATCCTTGTTTTTGTGGTGTATTCTTTTCTTTTTTTGTCACCGACTGTATTTGTAGTGTGGCCAGGAGCATTACGGTTTGTTTTTTGCTCTCGACACTACTTGGTCCTGGGATTATGTTGGCATTTCCAAACTTGAAATCAAGGATGAATTTACTGTTTTCGATGGAGTTCAAGGATCCTCCTTCGACAGTGAAAACTAGTTCTACATGTTGGTTTTTTACGTTTCGCTGCAGTATCCTCCATGCATCAACAGCCAACCCATCGTTTTGACTTTCTAGGAGAGTCAGAATTTCTTCATTTTTGTCCTCTGAACTCCAAAGGAAGAAGCCAATGAGTATTTCAGGACGCGGGTTTTTTCTTTTCATCCACTGCTAACAGCTCTGCCCCTGACCAGGGAGTTACTGTAGAAATAATGCTTTTTAGCCAGCCTGCAGTTTCGTTATTTTTACAGACTATGAGTAAATAGCCCGATTTGAAAACGCAATCGCCAAATTTTGGTTTCAATGGTGCTTTTCGTTGTCCTGCTACTTTAGCTAAAATTGCTTTTTGCGTAGTAATTAATTGAGCTGTTGTAACCTCCATATTCGGGTATCCTTTTGGGAGCACACCCAGCTTCACATACTTCGCAACATCGCTGTAGGATGGGTTGATCTTACCCTCTTTACCTCTAGGAGGTTCTGAGTGTTCTGATCGAAACGCATCAATACGGTTTTTAACCGAACTATTCTTGACTGGAGGTTTACGAGTACCCCAGTTCTGCTGAGCAATTTTAGCGGGTGTTGGATTGTCACTTGTATTTGACCCATTCAGGTCCGAGTTTCGCGGTCGTTTGTATGGATCTGATGATGTAAGTGGGTTTTTAGCCAAACTGAAAGCTTTTACACTTAATTTTACATGAAATGTTTGTTTACGTTCTATGATTTAACTCAAATATGGATAACGTCTCGTGTAAAGTAGTTATTTCCAAGTGTGTAGTTCATTTTACGCGGTTATTGTTTTTAATTGGATAGAGAACTACTTCGGCCTAATCGCCTATTTTGCTTCACTGATGTCTGTTCGATTTATATTAAAAAAAATCTGTCGTGCTGCTTGTGTGATGTTTGCTGATTTTGTTTCACTGTAACCCATGGTCCTCATGTTCCTTAATGAAATTGGTGATACATTCAATGTTTGAACGATGCTATTGAATATATCCACATTATATGGGCTCTGTAACTGGTTTGCTGATGCAATTGATTCTAATGATGGAATTGACGGTACTGCTGTAAGACATGAAAAGTTAAACATGAACACATACTGAACAAGGTGTAAACAAGTATTTTTAGCCTACAAATAAAACAGGTTTAAATTTAAATTATCAATCCGAGTATTTTTACCTGGTATATCATCAGGTTGGTGGCCACTTGTCGATGGTTGTGGATCGTACAGATCCGAGCGCGGTTTTTTTTTATGTATATCTATTGTGCTGCACCAATGCACGGCATGACTCACAAATGCGCATCTGTACATACAGTTGATGAGGGTATCCCATAGATTGCAATTTTTTAATTAATGCTGGTGTTAAGTAACGTAGTTTATTTCGGTCGCACTTGGGATTCGAAATACCAACACTGCATTTAAAAACACTTAAGGCGTCCATGAGAATAATTGTTATTAAACGTTACAGAAAATAACTTTCTCACTGTCACTGTTTTTTTCGTTACATTGAATAGGGTCGTATATACATCTTCACATATATAGCAAAAAATGTATACCTACAGACAGGCATGTGTTCGTACCTACATCTTAAACTGGAAATAATATATATTTTCTAGGTAAATTTCGTGACATTGAAACTGGTTTTGTTTATGAGAAAGTTTGAACATACTGAGAGGCAAGCACATATGGTAAGAGACGTGTGTGTGAGAAAATTTGCGAAAAAATCTAAGGGAACCGGTGGGATTCGGTGGGATTCATAGATTTTATTCAGTGCGGACACGAAAAAGTTTTTGTTGAATTTTTTTTTCCTTTAAAAGTGCCCATCTTGAGAGGTATTAACGAGTTGTAGATAAATTATATGACTATCTGTAGAAAAAGTTTACGATTATTTGAAATTGAGTTTTTGAGAAAGTTCAATTTTAAGTTTTAAATACCTATTTTTTCAGTGTAGAAAATAAGATTTAATTTTTTTTTAATTTTTTTTTATGAAAGTTAATTTATTTCCCTACAAATCATTCTCGAACAACATTGCCATAGGACATAAAATTACATGTCGGACTCGATTATCCGGAGTATCGATTTTTTTTCACTCCGGATAATCAAATCCTCCGGATAATCGAATCACAAAAAAAAATCAAATCTGCCCCTCCTCTTAGCTACATCCAATATTGTTAAAATAATCATTTTGTATATTATAATACTAAATTATTTCAAATTTCTTCATAAAAACTAAAAAAAAAACGCAAAAAAAAAAATACTCCGGATAATCGAGTTTAAAATTCCAGATAATCGAACCCCGAATAATTGAGTCTCCAGATAATCGAGTATCCGGATAATCGAGTCCTACCTGTAATCATATTGTATATAATAATACTAAATTATTTCAAATGTCTGCATAACAACTAAAAAAACGCAAAAAAAAAGTACTCCGGATAATCGAGTCTAAAATTCCGGATAATCGAACCCCGGAAAATCGAGTCTCCGAATAATCGAGTCCGACCTGTATTGAGTTATAATGTTTTGAAGAAAATGTTGACAAAAAGGTTCTGCCCTTTCCAAATGTTGGTCTAGATTTTTTTTAAGAAAATAAGTATGCAAAGTTTCTTGAGTAGACGAAATCTATGCACTCACAGAGTTTCATTGAAATCTGAGAGGGTGCTGCCAACCATTTGTCGAGTTAGCGTGAAATTCGTCTGAAGAAGAATTCACTTACGTACGTCTTGTGATTGTGCCTATCTTTCATCATCGGCCTCTGTAGATCACTCAGACATGAAAAAAAAAACCCTGTTTAAAGAAAAGCAAGTACCAATGCAGCAACCGAGCAGTACACATCAAAAGTATTTTCCTTCCTTTTATGTGGCAATATTTTCCTTTTCTACCACTTCTTCTTGTTCGTTGTCAAGGGATTTCGACTTCTTGCATCTGGCCATCTCATCACTGCCAGACCAACCGACCACGGTTGGCAACTGCGGGGATCGTTTTCTGGTCGCAAGGATTGGCAGGCAATTTTCCGTTTTTTTTTGTTGTTGCAAAATGTCTCTTTTAATTTTACACTCGATATAATTTGATGTCGTTGGTGAATCGGGCTGAAGATGATGATGATGGTGATGATGATAATGATGGTCATATTCCCAGTGGGCATTGATCTGCCTGATGGAAGGAAACATTTTATGAGAAACGATGCTGCTGCTTAACAGGTGAAGAATAGCAGTTGCTAGGTTAACGGCAAGAATTTTCCAGATCGATTTGTAGCTGGGTTTGAAATGTCCAATAAGATTAATAAAAGTACCGTTAAAAGGGGTATCTTTGAAATGCGGGTAACTTTGACAGTATAATATAATAATTAAATTTATTCCCTGCTCTTTGTCTGAATTGGAAACATTGGTTCCATTTTGTAGCTTAGCCTTTGATTTCGTAAAGAGTTTTTATATAGTATGTGTTGCTGGGGGTAAGACAGCTTTCGATCATGAGTAAACTCGGAGTTAAATTTAAGTAACTCTGAGTAACTCACGTTGGTCAATATCGTATACACATAGCAACCTGATTGTTCCGGAATTTCTATAATGTCCCTGATATTTACGAAGTCCCAGTTCAAAATCTTTGCACTTCAGAGAAATTCTCCGAACTTCTGCTAAATTAAGTTAGTTTGATGAAATTCTAGACAATTTTCTGAACTTACAAAAGTTCTACAAAATTCTCTGCACTTCTACGGTATTAACTGAAAGGTTGCTAATCATTTACAAAGTTAGCTTAACTCCTATTTGCTGCACTAACAGAACTTCTACCAAGTTCTCTATCAGTTCTAGCGTAGTGCTACGCTAACAGACAAACCAATTTTATTTTACCCTCTCCGAATTCCATGAATCTTCGCATACTTGTTCACTAAGGGAAATGAACCAAGTTTGTGTCGGAGTTCTGCCATTTTGACTCACGCCTAATTTTTCAAAAAGGCGTTTCAGATATTTATTGCAAAATACTATAGCACGAAAACGGCTCTTGTAATTGAAATGACATCTGAGACAAAGTTGTTGGAAACTAGAATGACTTTCCCAAAAAAAAAAATTGAACGAAAAATTACAAATTTTCGTCAAAAAAGAAAAAAAAAACTGTTAAAAACTCCAATAACAACAAAGAGAATTTTAAGATTTGTATACCTTTGTTTATTTGAAAACAATGTTGAAACCGATGCTGTCAAGCAAAGGGCTTTCCAGTTTTCAATGATGAACCTCGATGTAAGTATCAATTAAAAATGGAAACTTATAATCTATTCCAATTATTAAACTGAATAACGGTGTAATTCGTACTTTGTTCAAAAATTCAGTTATCATCCTAATATTCCAAAAGTGCAGAGTATTGAATTGCCATTCCACCTACGCAGAATTACTTTTGGGAAAAAAATCCAAAGAGAAGTTGGAAATGTAGCAGCGAGTATTTGCAGAACGTCGCCAGATCGTCGGCATCAGCAGCAAGGTACCAGTGGAACGTATCAAAGAAAAGCTCACACTGACAGTATTTTGCCCAATAAAACTAACCTATAGATCACAATAGACAGTCTTTTCACAATAAATACCATAGTTTCCCCGCCAAACCATATCTTTCAGTTCATACTCCACAATAATATCTAATCAGGTGATCGTACACGGCACATCTTGTCCAAGAAGTCCCTTGGACTACCAAGTAATAAGCCGACCCTGAGCCCCAGCTCGAGGGTTTTTTTACTACTGTACTTGCCGGTACAAACGAATAGTTACACGTTATTGAAACTTTTGAACATAGTTGTACTTGTGACGATATACCCTAATATTTATGTTGGATTTCCTCGATGATGATAGTGGTTTACCACCCATTGTAGCACGGAAACTAAGTCCGACAACAGTGGGCTCTCTTCTCTGTTTGTCTTAATCACGCTTAATAACCTCTGATTGTCCTCAACATGTCGCTGTAAGAAGGGCCAATAACGGATTGAGTAGATAGATAGTAGATAGGCAAAGTCGCCTATACGCATCTACGGAAGAATCTCCTTCCAGCAACTTGATCAGTAAATTGGTCAAAAGACAAAACCCCAAACAGGAAGATGCTCCAATGAGTGAAGAGAAGAGCCCGCCCTTTATCCACGAAATGTTATCAACAGGGAGCTAGCATTTCCACTCTCCCCGTCCAAATCGCTTCAATCGGGTGCCCTGTTGGACCGTCCCTTCCCTTTTATATATGTATTTCAATGTATATACGAGTTGATTGTTATGATTATTGTCAATAATACTTACATTTCAACAATACACTCGTACCAAGACGGGGCTTTGTGATTTTTTCTTCATCATGTTTGCTCACCACCCGGAATGCATGTAGGGTGGGTGAGCCAGTAGTAGAGGTACTAAGCCAATTTAATAATTAATACATACATATACGATCTACTCACAATTTTTATACGTCAATCTATAGCTTTCACGCTTTATTTTGATAGAAAAATATTGAATTGTAATAAAATTGCATACAATTTTAGAAAACTCATCCTCCATTAATAGGAACACTGCACTATGGGGCATTTTCATACAACCAGGCGGTCAAAAATATTTCTATCATTTTTTCACAATTTCTGCTATTATTCTTGCTTTGTTTCATCAATATAAGGTGTACGTTATCACTTTTCAACATTTTCACGACAAACTTTTGAAAAGGG